GTGGCAGTGAAGAAGTTTCACCATATCCGGCGCACGTGAGCAGCTGCGCCCTCACAGCTTCGTACTCCCAGTTTGTGGTCCCCACCACGTACAGCATCAGCCCAGCACAACACACTTGGGCCGACAGAAGCCCAATCCACAGCCCACAGAACCCAACTCCAAACCAGAACCCGAGCCCAATAGCCACCGGCATCCCCACCAGATAGAATGCGCCGAGGTTCACGTTCGCCGCCGTGGACGGCCGCGCCGTCCCCCGCACAACCCCACACCCGACGGTCTGCGGGCAGTTCCCGAGCTCGCACAGCCCAAGTATCGGCAGCGCCGCCGACGTCAGCCGCACGATGCTGGCGTCACTCGTGTACATCTGGGCCCACAAATTCCTCATCGACGTGGCGAAAGTCATAGCGGATAAGCCCATCAACCCGGCTAGGAATATGGATACGATGGCGGAAAGGCGGGCCTTTTCGGGTCGGTTCGCCCCGAGTTCATTCCCGACCCGGGTCGAAACGGCGAAGCTGAGTGAGGATGGGAACACGTAGAGCAACGACGTCGTTTGGATCAAAATGCCCATCGACGCCACCGTGGCTTTGGGGTCCACCAGCAGCCCGCACAACACTATCATGATCTCATACCACCACCACTCCAGGCAGACGGAGACGCAGCTCGGCGCGGCGAGCCGGACGAGCGGCGCCCAGCCGGTGAGGCACTTGAGGCTCGGCTTCGTCCACGTCGGGGCGTGCAGGCCACGTGCCCAAATGTAGAGCACGAGCGCGACGAGGACGACGAGGTTGGAGGCGGCGGAGGCGGCGGCGACTCCGGCGACGCCGAGGCGGAGGCGGGAGACGAGGAGGAAGTTGAAGGGGAGGTGGAAGGCGGCGCCGACGAGGGAGGCGACGGTGAGTGGGTGGGTGATGCCTTGAGCACGAAGGTAAATCCTGATGGGGTGGATAATGGAAAAGGAGAAAAGATCAGGGACCGAGAAGGAAAGAAAAGTATGGGACAAGGAGGTGAGAGTGGGGTCTTGGTGCAAATAGAGAAGAATGTTTGAAATGTTGAGCCAAAGGAAAGTGATGGGGAGAGAGCAGAGGGAGTAGGAAAATAACGGAGCGGTGTAGGGTCAGAGAAAGTAGCTTCGGGCGGTGAGCGCCAAATGCCTGAGAGCAGAGTGGCTCCATACCAAGAGCCAAACCTGACAGCACTGAGTAGCCGGTTATGTTAGCGAAAGCCATGGCTAACGAGCCAGCTGCCAGCTCACTGTCACCCAGCTGCCCCAGAAACAGCATCGACACCATCGACCTCGAGTACGCAATTAGCGCCGTTAGTCCTATCGGAAAGGCTAGCTTCATCAGAGATTTTGTTTCGGAGATAATATCGGCGGATAGGCTGCTGCCCCCGTTGGCCGGTGGTGGTGGTGGTCGTTTGGTTGGTTTGAAGGTGGTGGGGACTGATATCAGATCGAGATAGAGGTTGCACTGAGGAGGAGGAGGCGACGGCGTAGGTAGCGGCGGAGGCTGTTTGTGATCGGAGATGGAGTTTGGATTGCACATAGCTAGCGATAATATGGGTGAGGGCCGGGAATTCTTTCTTTTGATTTTACAGCACGCTCCCACTCCCACTAATGTGTGAGTGTGTGTGTGTGTGTGTGTAGCTGTCTGTATCTCTCTCTCTATCTAGACTTGCATTCTTCTTTTGGGAGAGTATTAATAGGAGAATTGTCTTCACCTTTTTTTTTTTTATTATTATTAATATTTTTTTTAATTGGCATTTATTTTGTTTCCAATTCGGTAGGCTTCCCG